CAGGCTTTTACTTCTGCCATATTTGGTACTGATCTATAAGGTCCTCATTGGTCCTGGGCAAGATGTAAAACTGCATTCATTAAGTCCCTGTTAGGTCCTCATTGGTTCTGGGCAAGACGTAAAATTGCATCCATTAAGTCCCTATAAAGTCCTTATTAGTCCTGGGTAGGATGTAAAACTGCATCCATTAGTTATTGTCTTAAGAAACGTCAGTTCAGTTTTTGGCATGAATGTGAGTCCTTAGTTTCGGGGTATAAATGTAAATAGTCCTACTTATAGCCCAATCCTCTTCTAAATGACCCTCAGGATCACTCTGACCCGGAGTGATAGTAACTGTTTTAATGGGTCCCAGCTATGGATAAAATAACAATTTTGTACTTTCTAAATGATTCTCTGGATCACTCTAACCCGGAGTGATAGTAACTGTTTCAGTGGGTCCCAGCTATGGGTAAAGTAACAATTCTTTCCACTTTTTGTTGTGATCACAATCCAAACTTATAATATTGTTATTCATGTTTTATTAACCCGGAAGTACTTAACTGTGGACAAAGTATTATGACTAATTTTTGTGGATATTAATTTTCTTTAAAAAAAAAAAATAAAAAATAAAAAAAGATAAAAAAAAAATAAATAAAATGTATTTTATGAATGCTAAAAAAAAAAAAAAAAAGAAAAAAAAGACAAACAAAAAAAAAATTTGGAATACTAAAGTATTTGTTACATATTAATATCAACTTTACTAATATTTTGAAGGAAGATTCCATAACATACCCAAAATAAGGGGGGGGGTTTACAGTTTTTTGTGTGTGTATATATATATATATATATATATATATATATGTGTGTGTGTGACTAGTGAGTTAGTCAAAATGACTTAATTCCCTTTATAGTCTACCAATAGAAGATTAACCAATCAGAAGCCGCAGAACATTCTATCCGTCGCGTATAAAGGCGGCCATTTTTGTTTACCCTACCCGAATGACCAGTGTCAAGTTGTCAGGTGAAGATGACAGAAGGAAGAACTACGCTCTGCTACTTTGCTGCGATATCCACTGCTAACCTGAACTACGCTTTCCTACTGTCCGAAATATTCACTGCTAACCTCTGGATTCTATACTCAAAGACGACCGTCAAAATGTCTAACAGAATGGCCAATATCTGAATCTCAGTGAATGATCATTTAGTTCACTAGAACAGGGTCTTGAACTGGTTGTGATAGCACCATATATGAACTTACACCCATTTCCATGGTAACTTGGTAGGGTGTGTCCCTGTGAGCTATGGTGCTATTCACAGTTGGTTGTATCGTCTAGTGGTTTGCGTTGTGATTCCCGACGAGAAGAAAGAAAGATCATTTACTTTCTTCCATTCTTGCCTAGCCGTTATGTTCTTTTTTTTCCAGAGACTGAGTGAATAATGCCTCCGTAAGAAGAGACAACTCGACAAGTGGAATTATCTTCAATAACAGAGATTTATTGAAAACAAATGAAAATTGTCCAGTGGAACTAAGATATTTCAACACAGGCGGTAGGTACTAGAAGGTAAACAAAAAGGGTATTGGCACTTGCCTTTCTTCAATTCAATCATCTGCTTCTAGGAAATATTGTGAAAGTAAAATTACTTTTCAAGTGTCTTTGACACAATCAGTGAACTGACAAAGCTAGCAACTGGAACTGAGCTCAAACGTAACTGACTTACTGCACATTCCATATTTATGGAGGACACTTCTCGTGCACCTTGCAGAAATTCTACCAGTATCTGTACAGACGTTTGTTCATACAGCTTACTGATCATAAACCACTGATGGCACTGTTTGGACCTGAAAGAGAGACACCCCTACTCACAGCCAACAAACTAGCTTGATGGACCCTTTGGCTAAACCAGTTTGACTATGCACTCGAGTAACAGAAAACAGGGTTCATGGCCTTTAGTCGCCTGCCATCTAGAAATGACTTTTATGTATTTAGTTTCTGTGGCACAATAAGTAGCTGTCAATTTGCTTTCACTAGAGCAGCACGGCCATCAGTTATCACTACTTGCTAGCACCCCTGATTAATCCAAGTGCCCATCTTTTATAACCAACCAGTGGTGAACCACCATTCGCCTGGCCTAATGAGTATGTTCAAAATAATTAGGTCTTTTCTAAATGTATACATACATAAATTTCACTAAATAAAAAATTACAATAAATATTATAATTCACAACAATGACGATGATGACTTCAACAGCGAGAAAAGTGGAGAAGACATGGACATTTTAACCCAACCAAGCAACTTGGAAAGGCTTGTGATGTTGAAATTGAAGCAGTCTTATTTCATCACTATCTGGATGGAAGTGAGTGCCTGTCAACATATCCAAGACTATCACATCTGCAGAAACTACAGTCAAATGCACAAGGAAGCCCCAGCCATTATCCATGGCTTGTGGAAATTCTACCAGTATCTGTGTGATTGTCTGTTCATACCAATTACTAATCATAAACCACTGACAGCACTGTTCGGCTCTAAAAGAAAGAGACCACTACTTGCAGCCAACCGACTAGGTCGATGGGCCCTGTGGTTAAACCAGTTTGACTACACAATCGATTGCCGGAAAACAGCGGACTGTGGCAATACAGATGCCTTTAGTCACTTGCCATCTGGAGATGACAAGAACTTTAACAGGGAGAAAAGTAGAGAAGACATGGATATGGTGTACACCATTAAAATTCTCAGTTTTCAAGTCAAATCTGTAGAAGTCAACATCCTCCATTACGAGTCAGAAAAAGATCCAGTGATATACTATGTTCACGAAGGGTGGCCAACAAAGCACACTGAGACCAATGATGAATTTGAAAAGTTCCAGAAATTGTTGGATACATTCAGTATCTACCATGGATGCCTGATCCATAGACCAAGAGTTGTGATTCCACAGAGCTTACAGCCCAATATCCTAGATCTACTGCATATCAGACATTTTGACATGGAATGTATGAAGCAGTTGGCATGAACTCCTGTCTATTGGCCCATTGAGATGGTTAATCAATGATGTGACTCTTGCAGCAAACATCAAAATAAGCCATCCAAGCATTATCGAAAAGTACAAGACTCATTGTGTTGAGTGTAAATAAAGGACTGGCAGAAAATGGTTAATTTTTGAGAGAATGGAGAGATGTCTCAAAGAATCCTCACTTAACAACAAAGGACATTGTCAATGATGTAAAGACATCAGCATTGAATGTTATTGACGAAGACAGTCATCAGATGCTTTCATTGAGCAGGACTTCGAGGTGGTGGCCCAAGGAAAACTCCCTTGCTTAAGACTAAACCCGTAAAATGCAGATTAGCTTATGCTAGAAGCCATCCATAACATGGGATTAAATATTACTACTCTGTTTTAAGGTTAGATGAAACCAAACTGGAATTATTTGGTTACATGAACTCCCATTATGTCTGGAGGAAAGTGAATGCTGCTCACAAACCAAAAAATACCCACCTTACGATTAAGCATGGTGGTGGGAGCATTCTGCTCTGGGAATGTTTTGCTGCTTCTGGACCAGGAGAACTAGTGAGAGTACAGGGTATCATGGATAAAGGGCAGTATTTGGCTATTCTTTAAAAAATATACAAAACAAACTGTACGAAAGCAGTCTTTCAGGCGTCTGTAGACATTCCAACATGACAATGACCCGAAACACACAATATACTTAGATGACAGCAAAATTAAGGTATTGGCATACCCCACATAAACCCCTGACCAAAACCCCATTGAAAATTTACAGTTATATTTGAAGAAAAAAGTAAAAGAAAGAAGTCCTTTAAATTTGGAGGAATTAAAAGCTAATGTCAAGGAAGAATGGAGCAAAATACCTGTCAGTGTGTATCGTGATCTTTTAAGGAATTATCAAAAATGATTAAACGTAGTAATCAAGAATAAAGGTTACACAATTGATTATTGAGGCAAGGGGCCAATAATTATGTCCCTTGTTAAATATTTTTTTGTTTGACATTAAAATAAAAATTTTGTTGTAGACATCATGGCACATTCATTCAAATCCATTATTTAATCATTTGTGAAAAAATAATTGAGGTATTACAGTTTTATTTGTAATTATGGAAGTGGGGTGAATAATTCTGTCCACAACTATATATATATATGTGTGTGTGTGTGTGACCTTATGATTGCATCTATCATGAAACAGTCTGTCGCCTCTAAGTGTTGACTTTATTCCATAAATATAGCACACCTTTAAACTATATATATATATATATATATATATATATATATATATATATATATAAAAATGTGAGAGGGGAATTCTCCTGATCAGGTGTGAACAAAAGTTCCAGTGATCATTCTTTGATTGAATACACAGGTGAAAACAATTTTTTACTGGAAACTTTTGCACAGGATTACAAGGTCTGATCAAAAACTATCAGGACTGGAGCTATAAAAAGAAAACTACAACACATATCAATTCAACATTTCATCTCCTTCAAAGTAGTCCCCCTTCTGAAACCACACACTTTATCCAGCGGCATTTCCATTGATGGAAGCATTCCTGAAACTCCTTTTTGGGATAATGAGTAGCTGTCTCGTCACATTCTCTTGGATTTTCTCAACATCTTGAAATCTTGTTCCTTTCAAGTGAGATTTGATTTTTAAAGAGGAAAATGTCACAAGGGGCAAGATCTGGGGAATAGTGTAGTTGCCAAACTTGCGGAATGTTGTGCTTAGCCAAAAACTGCTGCATAAGCCACAGACACTGATGGTACCTTTGTGGTCTGATGACATGACCACACTCTACACACTTTCCTTCCAAGTACTGCTATAAAAAAACATAAGTGACTGAGAATGTTATAACTTAGTGTGTATATGTGATAGAGTTCAAGGTCAATGTGTGTCAAGTATCTTCAAATTGCGAACTCTAGCTCCATTACCATAGGAACAGTCCCAATACTGTTTGATCAAACCTTGTATTATCTAACTTAAAATAAAAGTCTTATAGGCATGTACTCACCATATGTAGGTCGTTCAGTGAACTGACGCCCTGGCCTCTCAACATCAAACACTCTGATCATTTTGTTGAAACCACAATAAAGTTTCTGGCCATCCAAACTAAATGCCAGGCTGTTGGCAGCAACAACTTCATCCTGAATAGAATAGAGGAGACAAGAATAAAAAACAGTCCACAATACATTTATTTTTAACCAGTTCGGATTTTGCTTAACAAGTAACCAAAAGATGAAACGAAATAATTTATTTTTTCGGTATTCCTTTGCTATTTATAGACCATTCATACTGCAGACTGTCATTATAAGTGTTAAGATATTTCTTGACTGGTTCAATGGTGACAAATACCTGTCTGAATAGCCATACCATAGAATGGAGAATATTTTTTCAGAATCTACGTAAATGATATCATCTGATGCATATGCATAGAGCAATAACAGACACGCAATATATTCATAAACAATTTTGTAGCTCTTAATAAATTGTCTTTTTCTTCTCTCTCCTAAACTTTGTTCTGCCAGCCATTTACTCAAGCTCGCTAAGTAAATTATGTGTTGTTTTCCTCTATCCTCTTTGATGTTAAGTATAAGTGTCCTTTTTGTTTGCATTTTCTCTAAAACTTGCTAGGTAGGTTATGAGTTGTTTTCCTCTATCCCTCTTTGCCTTCAGTCTGTCCTGTGAGTATCAAATTTTCCAAGCCCTCTTTCCTCATTATGTGCCCTAGAAATTTCAACACTCTTTTTCTGATGTTAAGTATAAGTGTCCTTTTTGTTTTCATTTTCTCTAAAACTTGCTAGGTAGGTTCTGCGTTGTTTTCCTCTATCCCTCTTTGCCTTCAGTCTGTCCTGTGAGTATCAAATTTTCCAAGCCCTCTTTCCTCATTATGTGCCCTAGAAATTTCAACACTCTTTTTCTGATGTTAAGTATAAGTGTCCTTTTGTTTTCATTTTCTCTAAAACTTGCTAGGTAGGTTCTCGTTGTTTTCCTCTATCCCTCTTTGCCTTCAGTCTGTCCTGTGAGTATCAAATTTTCCAAGCCCTCTTTCCTCATTATGTGCCCTAGAAATTTCAACGATCTCTTTCTGTTGTTAAGTATAAGTTTCCTTTTTGTTTTCATTTTCTCTAAAACTTGCTAGGTAGGTTATGAGTTGTTTTCCTCTATCCCTCTTTGCCTTCAGTCTGTCCTGTGAGTATCAAATTTTCCAAGCCCTCTTTCCTCATTATGTGCCCTAGAAATTTCAACTGTCTCTCCCTGATATTAAGTATAAGGGTCCTATTTCCTTCTATTTTGTCTATTGTTGTTCACATGTTCAGTTTTCAGCATCATTTTATCTCTATAACAACGTTTCTGTTGCTTCAAGTCTCTGCTTCAGCTGGGAGCTGATTGTCCAGTATTCACTGCCATACAGGAAGACTGATAGTGCATAACAGTTTAGTACTCTTTTCATTTTTTTTCTTACAAAATTTTCCTGTTTCTTAATACTGTGCTTAGCTTTTGGAAGGCACTATCCTAATGCATCTTTGGATTTCAGTGTCACACTTTAAAATATTTCCCAGATATTTAAATTGTTGTATGTGTCTGATATCTCCAATTTGTAATTTGCATATTGTATTGCTTATTATCTTCTTGTAATTGATGCTTAGTCCTTTCTTCTGACTTTCCTTCACTACCTTCTGTAGAGGTTCTTGTAATTTCCTTTCTGTGTCTGCTATCATCACTGTGTCATCTGCACATCTTATGTTGTTAAGATTGTGGCCACTAATAAGGAATCCTGGTAGGACTTCCAATTCTCTCAGACTCGCCTCAGTGTAAAGGTTTAATAATAAGTCTGGTGAGAAGAGACATCCTTGTCTTACACATCTTTCTATTTTTGTATATTTGCTGAATTCATTTTCTATCCATATGCAGGCAGTTTGCTCCCAGTATAGGTTCTCGATTATTTTAATATTCTTTTATTCTATTATTCTTATATTCTATCTTCAATTGTGACTATAACAACCAAGATAAGGATACTAGTCTGAATAGATCAATGTATAATAATGAAAATTCCTCATCTGAGAAATAGCCAAAATCATTTTGACTATAACAACCAAGATGAGGATACTAGTCTGAATAGATCAATGTATAATAATGATAATTCCTCATATGAGAAATAGCCAAAATCATTTTGACTATAACAACCAGGATGAGGATACTCGTCTGAATAGATCAATGTATAATAATGATAATTCCTCATATGAGAAATAGCCAAAATCATTTTGACTATAACAACCAAGATGAGGATACTCGTCTGAATAGATCAATGTATAATAATGATAATTCCTCATCTGAGAAATAGCCAAAATCATTTTGACTATAACAACCAAGATAAGGATACTAGTCTGAATAGATCAATGTATAATAATGATAATTCCACATCTCAAAAACAGCTGAAACATTTTGACTATAACAACCAAGATGAAGATACTAGTCTGAATAGATAATAAATATTTCAGAGCATGATTTTGTTTTGTGTTTTAATTTCCCTCAAAAATCAGCATGAACTTTCCGGACAACCCAATAGTTTTATTTTTCATTTAACGAGTGATTATCAATTTTATTTCTATCCATAAAGGTAAGTTTCTCAAACAGAATACAGTTTGCTAGTTTTTTTAGTGAAAAAAATCCTTGAGAGGGTTGAAATGGTTGGTTGGTTGTTTAGCCGCATATCAATATCTATGGGTTATTTAATGCCAAATTATAAATATTTTGTACACAATTTTATCATACTTTTTGGAGATAACAATGGTTCAGTGACTTACACACAAATACCCTAAAGAAAAGTTATGTATCCATTTCTTGTCTTCCCCAGCTATGGGTTAATTAGTAAAAATATTTTCTGGCCTGCCAAAGGTTAATAAGCCATAGAAAAGGAATCAATCAAGATATTTTGTAATTCTATGTTCATTTGGACAGTTCTACTCTTTAGTGTTATTAGTTTAAAATAAAACAGCTGCCACACGAAATCTCTTTATTACTTATATTGATTTTTATAATCACATTAATAATCTGTCGTCTTCTCCAAGTATCAATTAGCTATGGAGAATCTCTTACCATTTGGTCATAGGCTCGATAACTGCATCGTAATTCTGCTGTAAAAGCATCCCACATATGAACCGGTGTGTCTTTTGATGTGCTAAGCAAGCTGAAACCAAAAAACATAAAAAGCAAATCAGACAAGGCATTAAAAATAAATTAAAAATACAAATTCAATTCAAAAATATTTACATCTAACAATTAGCTAGTTTTATGCACAATATCTCAGGATTATATCAAAACTAGCTTAAAAGTCCCCCCTCCTGGGCAGCATTTAAGCTAGCTCATGCAGAGAGCTCTTGATTAGGCTTTCATCACAATAGGAAGGGAGGAGTAGATGTGGTAGGCAAAAATAAACTACAGAAGAACTCAAAATTGATTGATGCATTTAAGTATTGCATTAATATTTAAGCTTAGCTTTTAAAAGTTCAACAATAATTCTTCTGCCACCACTTAATTTAAAGACAATTTGATGCACATAGGTCCTTACTTTCTGTACAAACAATTATTTTTATTTCATGGGTGACTTTCGTTGGATTTGGAAATTAATTTCAATTGTTCTCAAATTTGTTCCAACATTAAAAAAATTGTTATCATACAAAAAATCCATGGCAAAAAAAAACATGTAAAAAGAAAAAAAAAAATTTGCTGAAATCAATAAATTTCACAATTGTGGGTCTGGATCCCGCCCAGAATGTTTTTAATTTGCACACAAATTCAGCTTCATTCCAAAATGTTATGATACATTGGACTATGGCCTCTTGCAGTAAAGTTGAAAAAAATGTGACATCATGACACACTGACATTCACAATTATTATATAGAAGAAATTCATAGGTTATATGAGGTGTCCATAAATTACCTGTACAACTTTCACAGAGTTTATTGTATCCATTAGAGTCAAGATCCATCAATACACAATTTTGTGTGTTAATGAAATATTATTAAAGTTTTAATTTATATATAACTTTGTCTTTTTTCTTTCACTTTTGTCTGTCTTTTCAGGTAAATGCTTAACCCTTTAGCATTCAACTCACCACAAACCCACCCTGTAAATGTTGGCTCTCAATGTTCAACCCAGCTCTAACCAGCCTCATGTATACTCTGTCATAATATATGACAATGTCATCACAAATAATGCAAGACAAGAAGTCAAGCAAACAGCAAGACTTTGAACACCTATGTTCAGGTCGGGTTTGAGCATGTTGGATGCTAAAAGGTGCTTATTATAAAAATGTGCTTATTTTTTATCCTTGACTTTTAATGAAAATGCCAACACTGCAAGAGAAAGTGCAATGTTTATTTTGGTTCATAGAGACCATATTGTACTCAGGTTCAGTGAAATTACAGTACAAAGTATGAAAAAAAAAAAAAAAAACAATTTGTGTTAGCATCCATGCCTGGCACAAAAAGTTTATGGTATGACGTTCCGTTGGAGATTATTTTATTTTGCTTTACTTATTTGTCAAGATTAGTGATTGCTTAAATTTTTGAATATATCTTCCTTTCCTTAAGAAATTTAATTATCTTGTTTCGATCAATCCTGTTGAAGAGTTCATTCATATTGTTTGCCTGATAATACTTTTCACGGACCAGACTTAAATCAATACATTTTATAAGTACGTGTTCCACTGTACAGGGTTCGATGGATAAATTTTCATCTAAATTACAAAAATAACTTTGATATCTCATTTTAACAGATATATTTACCAAAATTGCACAAAAATATCTTGAAATACTAAAGAGTAAATTTATTCAATAAAATTGCCATTCACTTTGTCCACAGCTCCAGATGGTTTTGGAATCTCCTGCAAATCTTATTGTTTAAGTTGGTGAATGCTGCTATAATCCTTACTTTCAGTTTATCTTTGGTGTTACAAGGAGTTTTGTTGATCTCTCGCTCAACTGTGCCCCTCACATAATAATCAAGGAGGTTGCAGTCTGGAGAGTTAAGTGAACAAATGTAAGGAGTGATATAGTCAGAGAAATTGTCTGACAGCCATGAGGGAGTTCTCCTGCTTGTGTAGCATAGTGCAGAGTCCAGTAGCCAGATATAGGAGCTTTCAGCAGCCACCCTTCTTGACCCAGAGCAGCACTACCTCCTCCAGGCACTTAACGTAGGCCCTCACTAACAAATTTGGGAGTTCTTTTCTTATCAGAATAATCATTGTGAGTTTTCTGAGCTGCCGTACCTTTGTAATTTACCATTAGACTCATCTTTCTAAATCCTCTGTACTGTCCTCAGATTGACACCCAAACACTCCAAAATGTTTGTATTGGAACTTCCAGTGTTAATGCCAAGCAGTACAGCATGCCATTTCCAAATTTCTGGTAAAGTGAATAGCATCATGATTCTCTTTTTTCTTACATGTTGCCCAGCTGACCCTACTACACTCTGCAGTCAACAAAATCAAAAAACAAGCAACATGCATATAAAATAGCGACAATTTATCCATCGCACTGTATATTGTTCATTACAAGTATAGCACATAGGTGGATATTCCTTTTTTTTTTTTTTAGCATGTAGCTCTGGGTAATAGAAGTTTTGCTGTGTCAAGTCAAGCATGTAGTGATTCCTCTTTTCTTATTTTATGGAAACAGGAAGTGGCTTGCAGAAAACAGAAACTGAATATCATCAAAATGTATTATGTGCAGACAATGGAGCCTACGTGATGTATTTAAAGAGAACTATCTGAAATTTTATTCACTATTATTATTTTTCTTCTCTCCCAATAGGATTAGATAGGTTTGCCTATAGTCCAGTTCACAATCCTCTCTGGTTTTTTGAACAGGATTAGGGGTTCATCCCTTGCTTCTTGTTTAGGATTAGGCTTCTGGTTCCTTCTAAAATCGACTCTATATTTCTAAAGTCACTGACTGAGCTCTGAAATTTTATCCACTAATTAAATCTTGACTTGTTCCCATCTTGAGTTAGTCATAATCTTTCCGGCATAATCCCAATAACTTCACATCTTGCCCTTTCTGCTGCATCCTTAAAGAAGGTTACAAACAAAGGTGGTACTCAAGTGAAAGGAACAGCAACACAGGTGTAGATGAAAGAAAGAGAGGTTTATGGTAAAAAAGAATACATTACTGAAAGACAGGGAATTGGTTAGCAGACTAGTAATTCCTGAAGCAAGTCCGTCAGGTATATCCTGTGCTTACTATATATATCTACTGATATAGTCAGTCCACAATAGGTGATAGGGAGTGTGGGACATTCCATTACAACACTTTCTTACACTTATACAACACCACACAGTAACCCTCTATCCTGAGTGGTTTTTTGGACCTTAAATTGGTTGAACATTAGTAAAAAAAAAAAAAAAAAAAAAATTTTCTAATAAAACTTGTAAAGTTATCTTCATTTTTTTAAATTTTGGGGGGAATAATTAACATTGTACAGATAATTTACGACACCCTGTGTATAAAACATTAACATTTTATCTAAATCACAATTTTAATTATTTCTCTGTTGTACTCACAGAGGAGGTATGGTGAAATAATGAATAGCGATCGGATTGAGGAATCAGAGATCCGAGTTCGGATTCCAGTTGAATCCATTACATTCACTTGCGTGCTAATACCCTTGAGAAAGGTATGAATCCTCCTCTTTTCCCCCCAGTTATGGGTAAAAAGCAGGACAGACTAGGTTCTATAGCTTTGGATGGTAACTGGTCTACCGCAGAAAGAAATGGCAACCTACTGTGAGAAAAAAATTCTGCCATGTCAGTCATGTATCAAAAGATAAATGTGTATCACGCATGGCACATAACTGACTTATTCTACTCACATTATAAATAATATTCTATATATAAGACACTCTTCAATAACTACTTCACTGCTCAAGAAGTGGAAGCAGTAAAAAACAAAAAAAACAAAAAAACTGTTACTCTTATTGTCAACCTTGAAAAGAGTTAGTCAACAAATTCTACATAATATTTGGTGAAGAGAGAACAATTTAAACCCTGGGAGCATATAACTATAAAATTAATAAAATCCATAATAATTTTGTGAAAGATGGAGATTAAATGGTAAAAAATTTATGGAAGCTACAGTGAATAACCAAAAGGGTGTTTGGGAATTTTCTGTAAGTGTCTGCATTTTTTACTTACATTTGGGTTGTAGTTTTTAGCATTAGAATAGATAAAGTAGAAAATATTTTCTAAAATAATAATAATAATACTAATAATGATAAAAGAAATTTACTGCAGAATTCATAAATAAACAAAATTTTCAAGAAATAAAATGGAAGACATCTTGCATTTCATATGAGGTAAACCTCATATGAAATGCGAGATGATAAATTTTGGTTTTTAATGTTACTTATCACTTGGAATTATTTGGGAATTTTATTTATGAAATTTCTTTATCAAGAAACTTTTTTTTTTAATTTTTAATTGTGCTTTGACTAAGCAGGGAGAGAGATGCAATGTCTGCATTTTGACCAGAGATTAATAAGTCTTCAATTCAGAAATACACAATAATACAGAAATACATGGGTATGCAATAAGAATAGTGAATACCCATATTTTAGTAGAACGGACCATTTTTTTAAAACAGTGTTTATTTCATCTACAGGCCAGCTCATTCAAGAAAACTTAAAGAAAATGATGCCTTCAGTAGATATAAAAATAGTTACAAGTCTTTACCCACCATTTAACTGGTGTCTGGGCATTACGTCATTTTTTTCTACCACCGGTAAAGCAGTGTTCAGGGCTAAAAGGATTAATGTCGAGATGTATTAACTATCCAGTGGAAGTCGTTCCCCCCCTCACTGGGAAGCAGTTTCAAACACAAAAGTGAACATGTCTACATTGCTTGATGTGTCAGAACCAACTTGCTGAAAAACCTTTCTCTATGTATCATTCCCACACTTACGGAGCCAATCAAAATTGATTTCCTATATTATGGTTTGTATCTGACCTCAAAGGTCAACCTCAGGAAGTCAGAGCAAACATTCACTTCCTCTAAAAGATAATAGTCTACTAAACTATTACTTAACAATATTATCACTTTTTTCTTGTTATTAACACAATGCTTTCATCTCTTTGAATTAACAAGATGATGTATTGTTGATTGTTTTTTATGGTTTATCAACCCTTTGTGGGTTATTTAAAGCTGGAACATATCTTGGATTGTAAGAATTATTTTTTTGCAAAAGAATATTGCAACAATTATTTTTTCCTGATACAAGTCCTACTATTAAACCCATAGCTGAGGGGAGGAGACAGATTCATAACTTTCCAAATGTATTGTATTTGCAATTAAGTGAATGCAACAAACCCAACCAGAATTCAAACTTGACTCTCCAATTTCTAATTTCAAACCACTATCCATTACAGTATTGTTGCAGGATAGTATGAATAATCATTTTTACAATTCCTTGCACTTACAGCCATATCACACTGAAACACTGGTTCCTGTACAATCATCAAAGTTAAGCAATGTTCAGCCTGATCAGTACCTCGATGGGTGACCATTTGGGAATACCAAATGAGATAAGCTTGGATGTGCAGGTGATGCAATGGATAATATCTCAGAATTGTTAATCAGAGATCCAAGTTCCAATTCTAATTGGTTTATATAATTTTTAGAATTTAGTAAATATTTATAAATTTATGAATAAAAAATTTTTATCATATTTATTTCTTAACAAAATGGTAAATGATAGATATTGCATTGGATTAGTTTTAATTGTATTAGCTTTTAGAATGTTGTTAATATAAAATTATTCTTATAAATAAACAATCTAATAAATAAATAGTGTTTAATATTTTTGTTGTAAATTCTCAAGAATGAAAATAATATATAAATTCACTTTTACAATTCACAATTATGATTCTAATCATCACTTTTTAAAACAATAAACATTGACAAGGAGTGAAGGTAGTTAAAATAATAGCAGTGTCAAGGGAAAAACTGTTCTTTTGACACGCCATTTATTTACAGGCATTAAATTTATGAAATGATAAGATACTTACATGCTGTAATGTAAATATATTTTAGTGTATTGCCATTCTTGTGGTCGATTTAAAATAGAGTGAGGCTTTTAAAAATACTGCTACCTGTAATTCTATGCCCAGAGATGGGGTTAATTCTAACATATTTTCATTATTCCACTCATTTTTTTACTATTTTTTAAAGAGTTTCTTGGTCAGACTGAAAAATTTTCAGCAGGCTCGTATAATACATTAAAGCTATGTCACAAATCCTTATGAAATAATTCTGTTTCACACCAAGTTTTACTTACCAGCATGTTTCTGGCATGGTTGAAGACATACCAGGGTACCAGCAATAGTCATAGATTGTCCCAGATTCTTGCATCTTCAGAACAGATTCCTAGAAAATAAAAATTAGATCCACCTGATATAAATGAAAAAAATGAAATGCCTATAACAGACATATTTTGTGGGAAATGTCTGCCTTAATTCCTGACCCGTGATAATCCATATATTTTTTCTTATTTTCTATAGACAACACAGAGACTAAGTAATTTGCTAAAATAAGTTTAAATCACAAACTGAAAAATTCAGAATGACAAATTACATTCCTTAGTTCCCGTAGTTCTAACCTTAAGGCTAAGATCCACCTTGCCACATACACTGTAACAAGCCACCCTCATTCCCTTTGTGTTCAACTGGTAAGATGTAAGGTCCCAGTGGAGAAGCTTCTTCCCATAAATCACTGCTTTGTGGAATCAACTCCCAATAGAATGCTTCTCCAGTCACTACAACCATTTCTAGTCTAGCATCAACCATTATATTCCCTGTTTATTCCTATAAACTCTGTGCCTCTTAATATGTCACCTTCTTACCCATCATGCTGAAAAGTGTAGTTGCTACTAAGAGATTCTTTAATGTATTCACATCTAACCAAACAGTATTAGCTAGAGTGCTCAGAAGATGATCTATCACACAGCAATTGCTCATGTAATTGGCAGTAGAGAGAATTTCTGTTATCAAATGTAAAAAGGTCTGCTTCAATGTTAGCACAAGGTCTTTCTGGAAATTCATGGACCAGCAGGAGCAGAATGACTGCTTCTAAATATCAGGCCATCCTGCAGAGTCATTTAATTCTGTAACTTAAAATAAGGTCTCATGTCTTAGTACAGGTGAGTTTTTTTGTTTTTTTTTCAGCAGGCTGACACTCATCATGTGCTCTGTCACTACTGCTTGGTTTGTCATTTCTTTTGTCTGCTCACAACTCAACATTTTTTTTGTTACCTTTTTTAATGTTTAGTTTTTGCTTCCCCAATCACTTCAATCTTAAACTGGTCAAGTCTAAGATCAACCATTATCTTCCTCTCATATCCCCATAAAATATGCTTCTTTGCATGTAACCCTTACCTCAAATGGGTTTTGGGCAGCTCCAGCCCAGATATGGCAGCAATACACCATTTTTGGTCTGATCTGACTCTTGTAAAGATAGAGCAGGGCATAAGGAGTCAGGTACTTTTTAAAGTGATACAAGCTGGAAAGTGAGGATTGGGCAGCTCCAGCCCAGATATGGCAGCAATACACCATTTTTGGTCTGATCTGACTCTTGTAAAGATAGAGCAGGGCATAAGGAGTCAGGTCTTTTTAAAGTGATACAAGCTGGAAAGTGAGGATTGGGCAGCTCCAGCCCATATATGGCAGCAATACACCATTTTTGGTCTGATCTGACTCTTGTAAAGATAGAGCAGGGCATAAGGAGTCAGGTACTTTTTAAAGTGATACAAGCTGGAAAGTGAGGATTGGGCAGCTCAAGCCCAGATATGGCAGCAATACACCATTTTTGGTCTGATCTGACTCTTGTAAAGATAGAGCAGGGCATAAGGAGTCAGGTACTTTTTAAAGTGATACAAGCTGGAAAGTGAGGATTGGGCAGCTCCACACCAGATATGGCAGCAATACACCATTTTTGGTCTGATCTGACTCTTGTAAAGATAGAGCAGGGCATAAGGAGTCAGGTCTTTTTAAAGTGATACAAGCTGGAAAGTGAGGATTGGGCAGCTCCAGCCCAGATATGGCAGCAATACACCATTTTTGGTCTGATCTGACTCTTGTAAAGATAGAGCAGGGCATAAGGAGTCAGGTCTTTTTAAAGTGATACAAGCTGGAAAGTGAGGATTGGGCAGCTCCAGCCCATATATGGCAGCAATACACCATTTTTGGTCTGATCTGACTCTTGTAAAGATAGAGCAGGGCATAAGGAGTCAGGTACTTTTTAAAGTGATACAAGATGGAAAGTGAGGATTGTGCAGCTCCAGACCAGATATGGCAGCAATACACCATTTTTGGTCTGATCTGACTCTTGTAAAGATAGAGCAGGGCATAAGGTGTCAGGTACTTTTTAAAGTGATACAAGCTGGAAAGTGAGGATTGGGCAGCTCCAGCCCAGATATGGCAGCAATACACCATTTTTTGTCTGATCTGACTCTTGTAAACATACAGCAGGGCATAAGGAGTCAGGGTCTTTTAAAGTGATACAAGCTGGAAAGTGAGGATTGGGCAGCTCCAGCCCATATATGGCAGCAATACACCATTTTTGGTCTGATCTGACTCTTGTAAAAGATAGAGCAGGGCATAAGGAGTCAGGTACTTTTTAAAGTGATACAAGATGGAAAGTGAGGATTGTGCAGCTCCAGACCAGATATGGCAGCAATACACCATTTTTGGTCTGATCTGACTCTTGTAAAGATAGAGCAGGGCATAAGGTGTCAGGTACTTTTTAAAGTGATACAAGCTGGAAAGTGAGGATTGGGCAGCTCCAGCCCAGATATGGCAGCAATACACCATTTTTAGTTGGATCTGACTGTTATAAAAATGAGCAGATCAGAATCCCATTACTTTCTGGGGCAGTACAAGGGACTAACCATTTTTGCAGCTTCTATAGCCATGAATTGTGTATATGAATTGCACTTGATGTCTGGGATGAATTTTAATCCCGACAGACATTCCAAGCAATGAGCCTCATTGAAAAGACAGCAGCTCAGAATATGTTTGTGTCAAAAACACCAATAATTCTGATGAGCTTTCCTCTATGGACTTTATGGATTTAAGCACATTACTAGATTGGCAGCAAGTTGAAATGGCTAGATGTAACCGTAAGTTCTATGCTACCAGTTTCCACACACACTGAAACTCTCTTCCAGCTTCTTGCTTCCCAGTTAACTTTGATCTTCAAAGATGTAAATGTAATGTCAATCGTTATCTTCTGCCTTCTTAATTCCTGTTCTTTTATAGTCTTCTCTTCTTGATAGTTTTTTTTTTCTCATATTCTCTAACACTAACCACTTAGGGGCTTTATTGCCTTGTTTGGGGTGAAATGTTAAAAAAAAAAAAAGTCTTGCAACTTTTGGGGTGTATTTACTTCCATACCTTCTCCTTTTTCCATATATCTAAACTATAATTATAAAGTATAATTTTATAAAGAGAAAATTTCACTGAAATATCTGAAATCAGGAAAATACAAACTTTAAGCAAAATGGTTCACAAAATAGGGAAAAAGGAAGATGTCAGTGTAAACTGATACCAGGATGATAGGTGTTAAAATAAGCTGGGTTAATATATTATAAAAAAAGAATAGAAGGGACAAGTCTCCTCAAAATTTAGAAGTCCTGTAGCCCAATCTAATAATCGTACCCATGATATCAAGAGTTACATCAACAGTTAAGTTCAACAATAAATTTAGATTGTTTTGTAAGATAGGGAACCATTCATATTGCAAATAAACTTTGGCAAACTTCGACCTTTTTGTATGGAAAAAAAAAAAAATGGCATATCATAGGATAGTTTTTCCTTTAACACCACCTTTATTTTAATTACCTTCACTCCTCGGCAATGTTTATGGTTTTAAAAAGTGATTATTAGAATTTTAATCAAAACTAAACATATGAAAATGGATTTATACAGTTTCTTTGTTTTGTTTTGAATTGACAGCAAAAATAAACACTATTTATTTATCAAATTTATTTATTCAATTATTCTTTTTATTGGAATGGTTGGCATTTTGGCAAAACACTACTTATAAATTTAGGAATAAGAAATTTGTTTTCATATTTTTTTTTATAAAATTGGTAAATGATAAATACTGCATTGCATTAGTTTTAATACAAATGTATTACTTTTCAGAATGTTGTAAATATAAAATTACTAGCAGCATGGCTCGGCGTTGCCCGTGCTTGATTCAAAAATTGTACAACTCATACAGTAATCGCTATCACTTGACTTAAAACATTTTTTGCCTTTCCTTGCCTTTAAAGGAGTTCCCTTTGCCATGCTGATGTTGCTACATGCCTTACTTCTTGCCTATCTCACACCGCAAATTTTTTCTAAGCTCTATACTAAACATTAAACCTGTTACGAAAAAAGAACTAAACAAAGTGATCAGCTTTAAAAAAGGACTCGTAACTGGAAAAACCGAACGAAAAAAGAATATTAACAACAAATACTTTTTCACACCCAACCCAGTTCTGCGGAATCAGAATCAACATTGAGTTTAAGCAAGCAAATGAGCCAATTGGAGTAAAGTGCCATGAAGATTTAAATTTTTCCCACTTGTGACAAATGCAGCTATCGATATTTTTTGCATGCTAATTAACATTCGTGTCAGTCAGATGTTGGCTCTCATGCTGGCCAATAGAATCTTCCTGCCTATTTGTGGCAGCCAGCTATAGGCTCTCACTCTGGCCAGTAGAAAATGGCCGCAAACTACATGAAAACTGCCGTAAAAGCATGAAAAAAAATCAATTATTTCCACTATCAATGAGAGTTGGGGAATGCAAAGTTGGTCTTGGCCTTTCCACTAACTTGGAGCATGTGCATGTAAATTTTGGTGCAAATCCGTCGAAAATTGCGGACGTACATTCATTACACACACACACACACACACATCTTGCCTTTTATAGATAGAGATTCTTGTAAATAAACAAATCTAATAAATATTATTTAATATTTTTGTTCTAAATTCTGAAGAACAAAAAAAAAAAAATGTTTAAATTCCCTTTCATTATATGTTTAGGTTTTATTAAAATTTTTCTTAAAACCAAAAACCATTGCCAGGTATTTTAAATAATAGCAGTGTCAAGAGAAAAAACATACTTTTGAAAATGCCATTTTTTTGCAAAGCTCAAAGGTCCAGGTTTGCCCAAACTTCAATATAAACTTTGAATAGCTTTCAGGATATCATACAAAAAAAAAAAAAAAATAGTCATCAGGAATTAGTAATTAAAGAATACTTACAGGCATTATTTTTTATGATAAATCATATTTTGGCACTCACAATAATACATAAAGGAAATAAAAAAAAAATGGTTTCAATATGATTTTGTTAAAACAGACATCAGTATTACTCAG